GGGGGGGGGGGGCGTTAAGTATTAATTTTTGTAATACAAAAGATGAGTAACGATGACTAACGTTTTTCGGATATCTTGAAGACATCAATAATTTAACTTTGTGCCATTTGGGTAACGCTCGACCGCATATTGCATTCTACTTGCCCCCCTTAAGTTTATTAGACTATATATACATCTCTAAATATTTTTATTTTTATTATTACGTCGTCTATTTAGTACTACGTCATTTCATTGTACCTTGAATGTCGTTATAAACGGACCACTATATTTTAAAATTGTTCACATTGCGAAATTACAGAAAATATACCGTAAACGTTAATAAATATATACAGCGCGAAATTAGCATACGTTCAGACTGCAACTACAATTAATATCAATTCTGTTACATTTAACAAATTGTGAATTGAGTCGTAGAAAACACGTCCGCCATCAGGGGCAAAGCGGGAGACAATCAACTGCAACTAAAATGTGATCAAATGTGACTCAAATTTATATATCAGAGCAGTGGCACCTCGCGTATAGGCACTGTGGAAATCCAGCACCCCCTAGATCAAGCTTGAACTGTAACAATTTAGGTTAAAGTAAGTAAAAAATGTTCGATTTTGTTGTTTTAGGATTTTATCAAGTTTCTGAATAAATTTTCTTTTTATACATATTTGTTTCCTTCATACAATTTTAAAACAAAAACTAAACATTTTCTGGACCAGCACCCCACTAATTTTAGCGACGAACCACCACTGTATCAGAGTAATACTTTCAGGCAACATACTTTATGAAACGTATATTAGCGTAACGTACTAAATACAGTAAGCTTTTTAAGCACTTAATTTAATTAAATCAAAAATAATCTTATTACTCAAGGTGAAAATCACAGTAGTAACATGAACTAGACTGGCAATTTATCATGTAACTTCGAGTTTCATCAGTGTTACATTATGGTTATATAACTGTGTTTATTCAGGTCGACATAAATCTCGCATTGAAGTTGCATGTCCTCTACACAACTTCTACGTTATTTTCCTTCTTACGGACATTCCACTCAGGGGAGAGGCGTCTAATGTGGTACGCTAGGTAATGTTACGGACGCTTATTTTCGGATAATACGATTCTTCCATACAAAATTTTGGTACGCTAGCTAATGTTACGGACGCTTATTTTTGTATAATACGATTCCATACAAAATTGTGGTACGCTAGCTAATATTGCGGACGCTTATTTTCGTATAATACGATTCCATACAAAATTTGAATAACTCTTATTGAATCGACTTATATATCAATTAATCAAAGATGAGAAGTAAGTTTTATACCTTATCACAAAATTTAAAACGTAGAAGAGAACAGCATTTAACACATCGTATACGCACAGATAAATATTTTTAATGTGCTTTTCAGAATTCTTGATTTCGTATCTTTAAAAATGTAGAATTGCTTTGATATTATTATTTCTTTACACGATAAAAGAGTAAGGAATGTGCGCAGTCAAACCATATCAAATTCAGAACCTTGGAACCAGAATAACTTGCAACGATTATAATTTCTGCAACGAGCAAGACAACAGTAACTATTCCTTCCACTTTTCTCGCTGACCAGCAACTATAGTTGATCAATACGCTCAAATTGTTTTTCGACAGATCTAAAACTATGCATATGTTTCCACCATGTAGGGTTAAAATAGAATTAACCAATCAAGTTGTTTATTATGTTCAAATCTCGTTTTTAATTGTTTAACCCTAATTCAACCCTACACGGTGGGAACATATGCAATAAGATCTCTAGAAAATGACACCTTCCTTCCTTTCCTTGGTTATGTTCCGAAATTCACTGCCAGTACTGCAACCCGCGCTGTTTCCATATTCATTTATAGGTATCTGAAAGAGACACAACTGCTTTCGTAGTACTATCTGTAAGTTTCGAGATATATTTATTAACGGCTTTGTCTCTCAGGTGGACATGTGCCATAGCAAATCACACGTGGCTCTGCATAAAATTTTGATCAACGATTATATATATGCATGGTTTTGCGCTCATATGTATTTTTTTTTTCTATTTTTCATATAATGTTAACATTGCATTATAAATACTAATCTCGCCCACTTGTTAGGGTCCAGCATAAGAGGTACGTTCTCAAATTAATTATCAGGGATCCTATTACCAAATCATGCTGTAAATCTATAGCACGCTTTCTATTGTCATAGCACGGTTGAACCATTGGTCCTTGAATATCTTTTCCGACAGATTATTGGCTGGTACTAAGAGAAAGTTTTTAAAATGACCAATGGTGGTACAACCATGCTATAATTCTAGCGTGCTATATACAGGGTGTCCCAAAATTACCTGACCAACGGGTATGGTGGTGTTCGGGAGGCACCACTGATCACGAAAATGACCTTCCTTTTGTCCGGAAGGTCATAGTTTTTAAATGGGAGCAGGTCAAAGTTGACCAATCAGAGGGAGGCGTCAAGAAAAACGTAGGCACCTGCGAACTCTGAGTTTTCTTCCCTCGCTTTTGTTTTTCGGTGGCTTCGGGCAGGATGACATCAACCGAAGACATGCCTATTGGAAACAAGGCACAAGAAAGAAGCCACCGAGAAACAAAAGCGAGGGAAGAAAACTGAGAGTTCGTAGGTGCCTACGTTTCTCGTAACGCCTCGCTCTGATTGGTCAACTTTGACCTGCTCCCATTTAAAAACTATGACCTTCCGGACAAAAGGAAGGTCATTTTCGTGATCAGTGGTGCCTCCCGAACACCGCCATACCCCGTTGGTCAGGTAATTTTGGGACACCCTGTATTTTGTAGCAAGATTCAGGAATAGGATTACAGAACAGCGATAACAGTTACATTTCTCTCAGATGCATATAGAGAAATGAGAACACAACGTTGTTCGACATTATTTCGGAATTTAGGTTAAAAATATTATTATCAATAACGATTTAGATATATTCTGAGTATACCCTAAGGTCGATCAAATGTCTGACATTATTCCGTGTTCAGAATGCCATTATTAATATTGTACATTCCCGAGCACGGCACCTTCCCCGCCGAGCTTGCTCGACAAACCATAACCACAGGCTTAGTTTTCACCGTGCAAAGTTCAAACTAAGTTAACCAATCACATATAGGAGTTGAATGGAATTGACCAAAAGGCTTAAGGCTTAATTCTATTTAAACTTTCCACGGTGGAAACTAACCACGGTCATAAATACAGATATGTATATGTATACGACGAACCCGGTGAGTAGGTTTTCTTCCTCGCTTCACATTGCTATCTCGCACTTTAACACTAAACGTACCACCGACGGGTGATTTGACCCTTTTAAAGCCAATAATACATTTATAAAAAATTGTCGGTATGTTTAGTATTAAGCTGGTAGTGAGGGCTCTCACGCACAGTCAATTCCCCGGTTTCTCGATCCTGACTGCCGTCCGTGCTCGAGAGTCAACTGTATAAGTAGCATATTCCCAGAATGTTTTTAATCGAATAAAGGAAATAACTTGTAAAGAAAAGTTAAGGAAAAACACATGTACGGAAAAAAAAGCTGCAAAGCTTTGCACCACCTAGTTAAGTGACAACTCATCATAAAATAATGGAAAATAAAGATATTGCAATATTCCAGTAATAATAAGAAATATAAAATACAATTTTACACCTATAAATTAATCATATTTAATTATTGATTAATTCGAAAAATATCATAGCAGTAATGGGGTTGAATTAGATTTCTTCGTTCAAATAGCCATGTTGACGATGTTGCCATATGCAATTAGATCTATTACTTATGTAACTATTTAGATATCAGAACAAAACATTCTTTAAGGTATATTTTAGGATATTGGTTATGTATATATCTAACAGCTTAGTACATAAATTATTTATTGAAAGCGCGGTGGTGGCGATTTTTCCATAAGAGACTGCGTTAAAACTCTTGACTTTTAACATCATTTATTTCTTGTGAAGTGCCGATAACCTCACCTTTATTTTCGTACACATGTCCCTTATTGCTGTATATTCAACTTATATCAAATATAGGTATCCATTTAATACTCATTCTCATAAAGGAATTGCCTTAAATTAGTGGCATGGCAAATATTTTGGTTTAACGGTAGTTAAGAGAATGTAAGCCAACGACTGTTCTTGTATTAGTTACGACTCTGAAAGTATCTGATTAACTTATGCTAACATTTGTTATTTATTCACATTCACTTTATTGGCGGGGATTGGTTTAGTTAGTAAAAATCGTTGAAAACGATAGTTATCAGTCACTGTGATGGGTTAGGATAGGTCAGAGTAGTTAATGACCGTAATGGTTTAGGTAATGTTAAGATAGGTCAGAAAAAGCCATGGAAAGAATAGACGATTTTTCTCAAACATTTGGTCCTACGATTATACTAAGCATTAATTCTTTTTTATTAGTTTCTTTCAATTTTTGTTGTGCGATTTTTTCAGTGGCATTTGTTTTCCTTAGGCTTCTTTGCAGGTGTTTTATTATACTACTTTTTTCGCACAATTTGCTTCCTACATTCCCATAGGTATATTTCTTATGCAAAGGCACCGAAGGGATACTAATAAAGAAGGCCAGTCTTATGGGAGTTTGTGTCTGACGATGAGTGATCATAGGTGGGATGGCCACTTGTAAAGGAAGCTTATCCTAACTGGTGCCAACACATAAATGAAGAAGAAGAAGAAGAAGGGGGTCGAGTGTAACTCAAATGTAGTGAAAATACAAAAGTGAATAGTTGTTAGCTAATCGCATGTTAGGATCAAAAGAAGACACGCACAACGATTATCAAACAGCTATTTACTTTTAGCATTTTCACTACATTTGAGTTATACAATTGACTCCAAGATCGTAGATGGGCACGGATGATATGATGGAACCAGCATAGACTACGTTTACACAGTGGTCTTGAACCAGTTTAGTTAATACTGATCTACAGGAATTGACCAATCCCAAATATTCCTTACAAGTAGAAATGTCTATGATTCGTCAATTCTCTCAGATCAGTATTAACTAAACCGGTTTCAGACCGTCGTATAAACGTAGTCATAGAAGTTCTGGAAGGGGTCGAAATGATATATAAATCGTTTCAGACACGGAATACACAGGGATTCGCCTCTTTACCAATATCTCCTCAGTGACGAAGGTACAGTTACAACAAATTTACAAATGCAAAAGGTAGATCCACCTATATTTTCAATTGACCCTGAACAAGGTTCATTAAATAAACTTATGCAGAAAGCTCTTGTTGGACATTCTTAAATTCCTGCTGATGTTATTAGAACTTGCGTAATAATATTCCAATAACACTATCGACATCTTACCAATTTTATCAGATTCATCTGTACTGGAGAATCGGGAATCTAAATTTTTGAGCCTCAATTTTTATTTAATTTAATTCTAATTTTAATTACGCAAGATTGGTCTCACAAAGCTATGAAAGCCATATTAATATCGATATCTATTAAATTTATATTACTACACGCCATGACAAAAGATGGACCTTCTACGAGGTTATCACATTCTAATTGCCATACATATTTGCACCTTTTGTCCCTTTTTGCCCCTCAAGTCGTGATTTCTAAACACTGGCATATATTTACATAGGAGTATGATAACAATATGTACTGAAACTATGTTTGTGTCGTTACCTACACTTTCTGCACTTTTTAATAAGTGCAAATCTTATTGGATAATATTATTAAGTAACCAATGAAAACTTGCTCTTTTCAAACATTGCAGAAAGTGTAAGTAACGAGAACAAACCTACTGATTTCATATCTGACAACGCACGTTTGACTGTCCGTTTTTTCATGCAAATTAATGAATCAAGTACAGAGACTCAGCATATTGTGTTATATTTTAGAATAGCTCTTACAATTAGGTTACTCAATACTTACATTAAATTTTGGTAAACGAATTCTCAGAATATCTTCTAAACGACTGCAAATATTCAAACATCTAGCTGAAGAGGATCTTAGAACAGTCTTCAACTATTCAAAGGATACACGCGAATATATTCATTATAAATTAAACATGATTAAATAATCTTTCGAATTTCCAAATCGATCGCAAAAAATGTACAAAAAACATGACGCAATTGATAAAAGTTGTCCGCCATGGATAATAGATTATCAGTATTGTAATTTACAAGGGTCGTGATTCCAAAGTTGTCTTGTTATGTTATTTTGTTCTGTTTCACTTTCGGAACAAAAATGATAAGAAATTTCAAGCCAATCCGTAAACAGAACCAAGTGGGGGCTACAGAAGAAAAGTCGAACCTTCGCAGTGTGGAGCGTTAGTTGCAGTTAGTTGCTTTCGAGTTGCTGATAGCACATCATGGCTGGTAAGTTTTTTATCGTTTGAATAATATTATCACGCTTCACATTACACTAAATTATATGAATCACAAGAGTCGATATCATTTTGTTTTTTGAGTTTAAAAGTTGTATTTGGTAATAAACTCCCAAATGTTGAATTCCACTTGACTTCAGAATTTCCATACCTATGAAGTTAGTTTCGCTAGAGGCGGTAAAAACCTGTTGCTCGTTTATAGCCAACTTCATGCAAGCTTTGCATACTTCGCGTATATGAAATTAAAAGAAACAAGAAACCAAGAAATTGACATTTATTAACATTCTCCTATGCTGCACATATCGCTCATATCTAAGCTATTTAAGAGTATTCTACCATTTGAAGAATGTTTTAGGTTACAAAGAAAATAGACTAATATTATACCTATAGTCCATTCAATAATAAAATACGAAGTTTAACGGACTGCTTTATATTGGATATAAAGTAGCCCCTGAATCCTGGAACTCATAAAGTAGCCCCTCAAATATACATTTACTCATGGACACGATGGTATATCAAGAAACTCAGTTGAATATGTATGCTAAAGTAATTGAGGTTAACCGATAGGAGAGAGCAAATATACAGTACTTAAGATTTCTATGCTAAATTTTAGTATATTCAACACAAGATCAATGTAATATCCTTAATAGAATAATATACTTATTTTCGTCATTAGAGAGCGTGTGGTAGAATCTAGAAAATTGGTTGTTTCATCCGTCCAAATCGGAGTCTGGGGGTTGATTATAAACTTTAATTTTTATGATCGTACTATCGGGTAATCGTATACTGGAATTAAAAGAAGTGCAACTATTCGCGAAGACCTACTCACTTTCCCTAGGCCTAAATTCATATTATTTTTGTCAAAATCTGAAAAGTGTGTATGTATGTCACACACATATGCAATCAGTAACAAGCTGGATGCTTTTTTTTTTAAAGATCGAAAACAATGAAATCTCTAGCAAGGCGCACGTGTTACTGCATACAATATTTGTTTACAATGTATGCATATGCATAGTTTTGCACTAAATATATTTTATTTTTATATTTTAGCATATATATATGCATATATATATATATATGTATGATGTATTATTGAGAAAAAAACACATGTGATTTATTAAGTCTCCCTTATTTATACACACAACATCAACTGGTACATTGACTTTACATAAATGAGGATGATGTTTTAATTATCGTATGCGTCACATGTGATATTGTGTTTGTTGGGATTGCATTGCTTCCATTCTTAGCAAATCACGTATGTCAAAAAAATACATTGAACTCCTGGATCAACTACAGGCTGATTAAATGTCATAGTGAGGGTCTTAATACTGTAGCCTCTATTATCTAACCCATAACGGTAAATGTCGGTTTCGTTGAATGACGATAATTGCATTTTATCCAATAGCAAGATTTTCTTTCTACGATAATAGGGCTACTGACCACACGAAGAATAAATTTGTTAAATAAAATCGATACGTACTCACTGCTAAAGTATTTAAATTTCTGTTATTGCGATAAGCCCTCCATATTTGTACTTATAACAGATGGAATTCGCATGATACTGGGGGGGATCCGTATGGGATAAATACTCACTTAGATTTCTGTAAGAAGGACAAATTAATATTTGTTACTTATAATTTTGCATTGTGTATAACATTTTTAAATATTATATTTTGGCAGAATATAAACTAGGTAAACTGCTTATTGAGGGAAAGACCAAGAAGGTCTATGAACTTGTTGATGACCCGAATCTGTGTCTTCTTCAAAGCAAGGATCGTATTACTGCTGGAGATGGTGTGAAATCTCACGAGCTCGAAGGCAAAGCAGCGATTAGCACAGCTACCACTGTAAAAGTATTTCAGTTGCTGGATCAAGCTGGGATCAAGACAGCTTTCGTCAAAATTGCTAGTGAAACAGCGTTCATATCGAAGAAATGTGAAATGATTCCAATTGAGTGGGTTACCAGGAGATTAGCCACTGGTAGTTTCCTCAGGCGAAACCCAGGTAATGCCGTTTATATGTAAATGAGATTATATATTTTTTTTACTAATTATTGACAAAGACTATTATAATATGTAGGAGTACCAGAAGGGTTCAGATTTAACCCACCGTGTCAAGAAACTTTTTTTAAAGATGACGCTAACCACGATCCTCAGTGGTCTACGGCTCAAATTATCTCAGCAGGTTTTGTATTAAATGGCGTGGTTCTCGGCAAAGATGAAGTCGATATTATAAACCGCACAACCTTAGCTGTTTTTGAAGTCCTTGAAAGGGCTTGGGCTTCAAGAGATTGTGCTCTCATTGATATGAAGATTGAATTTGGAGTTGATACTAGTGGTGAAATTTTGGTTGCTGATATCATTGACAGTGATTCTTGGCGTCTCTGGCCATCAGGAGATAAAAGACTTATGAAGGATAAGCAGGTAAAATATTTTAGCTCTTTGAAGCACGTGCACGCTTATGTCGTACATTTTTTTAACTTATTTTCATTTTTATTTAACAAACTTTTGATAATGCATTTGAGCGACTCTATAAAAACGATTAACTTTCCGGAAAATTAATTAATAGTTTGAGGAAGATATTCTAAGAGTAACCATCCTCATAGAGGTATATTAAAAAGTCATATTGTATAGAATTAACTCTAGGATAACCTTTTATGAATATTTAATTATCTATTCAGAAACATAATTAAGATAGTACAGAGAATTTCAGAAAAACATTTCATAATTCATTAAAAACTAAAAAATGTTTAATAAAAAAGGGTAAGTAATGATTGTCTAATGTTTTTTTGGCAGAGTGTAAGACTGCGTATTTATCGCAAAATAGTTATTAATACTTAGTGTAGTACTTACTAATTAGGATTGGCCAAACTAAATAAATAATTTTGATGATTTCTATTAGTCAACGTGGAATTTCATATTTTTTACATTATATTTAAAATAAACAAATCCAAAAATGTTTCTGTATCAATTTGTATAAAATCAGTTAAAAATTATGCTAATTGGATTTATTTGGAATTTCAAAATTTAAGGATTAAATTTGAGATCAACTAGTCCAAAAATCAGCAAATTCAATTTCCAAAACAAATTTGTATCTTCATCTTATAAAATGGAGTATATATACTTCAAAGTGTTAATATATAATAAAATTTCATCACATATTGACAGATATCCATAATATAAGACTAATTGCAATCTTTCCACTTTGGCTCCTAATGTAAAAGAAGTGCCTGAAAGTCCATATTCTTTGCCATAAATAGACTATATATAAATTAAGTCGTTTTTCTAGGTATACAGAAACCTTTCAGCCGTGACTCAAGCTGACTTAGATACCGTTAAACGTAATTTTAAATGGGTGGCTGATCAGCTTGATTACTTGGTACCTCCTCCAAGTGCATTAGTCGTAATTCTTATGGGTTCACCTTCCGATGAAGAGCACTGTAAAAAGATTGCCAAACATGTAACTGATCTTGGTTTAAGAGTTCAGTTGCGAGTGAGTAGTGCTCACAAGGCTACTGAAGAAACTTTACATATTCTTGCTGAATATGAAGGCAGTGGAGAGAAGGTAGTTAGAACATTTGACTCGTATAATATTACACTATAATAATACTGATAATTGAATGATAGGCTTACACAACATTATTATCAATGCACATTTTGACCCAAGTGAGGATAATGTAATCAAAAACTGAGTTTACGGAGAAAAAAAATATTGAAGTGAAAATAAGTGTGATTATTTCTCGTTGTTATCGCGAATTGTTCTTGTTTTGTCTAGGTAGTACTCATTGCAGTGGCAGGGAGAAGTAATGGATTAGGTCCAGTGCTCTCTGGCAATACTCCGTTGCCTGTGATTAACTGTCCTCCAACAAGGCCGGACAACGTTGCACTCGACATATGGTCATCACTTAATGTTCCTTCTGGTAAGTCTTCTACTTAAAACGCTTGCTTTCAACGTATATTATGTGAATATAATGAAACTAATCTTCATAGGACTTGGATGTACGACTGTGCTCTACCCGGAAAGCGCAGCACTTGCAGCAGCACAAATTCATGCCCTCCACGATCATTTGGTCTGGTCTCGACTTCGAGTCAAACAACTCACAAACTTTATCGCGTTAAAGAATGCCGACATCACACTAAGGAATCTCACTCTCTAAATCTGAAAATAGATTATATTTTTTGATAGTTTTATATTATCTTAAATATGAACCTCAGTCTTGCTCTCATTTTTCATGGACTTTTGTTATGAAAAAGGTATCGCAGTTTCTAAGCAAACATCAAATTATCGATTCTAATTTTAAATTAAACATTCGTAGACAAAAATCGTCGACATTTGAACAGAAATTGAACGAATTACTTAGTAATCATTGCAGATTTTTGTCATTTACATGACATTATCTTATGTTTGTTGGTAACATCCAGCCTAAGCGTATTTTGATTATTGTCAATTCATGAATGATTTCTAGAATTATATTTGTCACAAATGTTCATGATTGCATTGTTTGTCTATGCTGTATTATTATTTCTTCTTGTGATCCTGTACTGGCTGCAAGTATACAACGTTCATGTATTACCATTAAAACAAGTTTATGAATAGCCTCTTTTTATGTAAATTTTATAACAGTTTCCCAGTACTCTTTATATATGTACATCAATCTCAAATAAATTAGATATCAACTTTAAACATATTTTACTGAGTTTTGCAATTAATTTCATAAATATTCTTAGCATTACAACTTTTTTATTTACAGTAAGTAGTAAATATAAGTTTCTAGCTATAAGACGATATTTTTATACAACTACGTATATACAAATATATTTACATTATCATTATGGCCTGGTGCTTTTAGCAAGTTCTTCGATATCGTCAATCTCTTTTGGACACTTTCTCGTCAATATAAGTGGACCTTCATTTCTGATAAGAACGTCATCTTCAATTCGAACTCCTAAGCCATAAAATTCTGATGTGGCAAATTTGTTTTTCTGATTTACATATATACCTGTCAAATACAATGTCGTTAAATAAATTAACAGTACATTAAAAAAAATTCTTTATTAAAATATTCTACCTGGTTCCACTGTGATTATCATTCCAGGTTTTACTTTGACACTTCGTGGTATCTTTCCTGTGTCGTGCACATCCATTCCCAGATAATGGCTCACATGGTGTGGACAATAAGAGTATGCAGCAGCTAATAATTTGTCTTCACTAAAATTGTTTGGTATAAGATTGATCTGTTGCAGTCTTCTTCCAAGTAATATACACATTTCATGAAATAATTGGTCTAAAGTCGGCATATCCTTCAATCTTTGAATCAAGATTTTTTGAACTTCAAGAACTATGTCGTACAATACACGTTGTTCAGGAGAAAAGGTACCGTTTACAGGCCATGTCCTTGTGATATCCGATGAATACCCATGATATTCGCAACCTAAAATACAGTTTCAATAAGTGAAATGGAAAATTTGGAACGTGCCATTGTTGTACACTTACCTGCATCCATGAGGACCATATCGCCATCTTGAACAATTTGATTGTTTGTAATGTAGTGAATAATATTGGCATTCTTACCACCAGCGACAACCGGAGGATAGGCCAAAAACTCAGCACCATTCATACGACATTCATAATCTACATTAGCAAAAAGTTGATGTTCATCTACTCCTGGCTTTGATATTTCAATGGTCTTAACTATTGCTCTAGAAGCAATATCACAACTTTTCTGCATTAATTTGATCTCTGCTTGTGACTTTATTAATCTTATTTCATGAAATATTGCTTTTGGAGATACAAAAGCATGCACATTACATATTTTCCCAAGTTGACATAATTGTTTATGTAACTCGGGTTGCACTGGATTTTTTTCATCGTACCAAAGAACACAGCTTTTATTTTCATTAATTAGAGAAATGAAAAATTTTTCGAATTCTGAAAGTGGTAGTGCCTGATCAACACCAAATAAAGAAGGTGCTGCTTCTGCACCTGTTCTTGGGCCATCCCATAATTCAGAATGTTCATCTTTCTTCTGCACAAATAGAGTTGATGTAAAATTCTCCTTACTTATTGTAATAATCAAGGCACAATCTGCTTCTTGACAACCAGTAAAGTATAAGAAATCTGTATTCTGTCGAAACACATATGGTATCTTTTCAGACATATAAACTTTTGATGCTGATGGTATGATTATAATTTGTGTTCGATTCAGTTTGTTTCCTATATGCATGTGTGAGAGAATCCTTTGTACTAATTTGTTACGTCTGCTTCTAAATTCTTCTAAGTTAATGCCTGGCACAAGTTCTCCTTCCTTCAACAGGTGAGGGTGTGTTATAGGTGTAGGTTGGCCAAATGTACATAGATTGTATTTTTTTTGTGCTTGATGAATCACAGTGCTCTGGGAAACCTTTGTCGAACATCTTGCAATCAGTTGCATGCCTAATGTATAATTAAATAAAAAATATATAAGAAGTAATTAAAAATGGTTTAATTGTAATACATTGTGTTTTTCTTTTATCAACACGCTACACACACTTACATGTGCACATTAATGTTTCATTTACAGCATATTTCATACAAATCGCTATAGTGTTTCTGTTTCTAGATTTTAACCAATTAAATCAAATACGAATATGCCAGTAAAATAAAAACACACATTGCTATTAATATAATAGGAATTTAACCTACAAACTATATATGTAGAAACCCGCCGCATCTAAAATTTTAAAAAACGAAGTGCATCACGAAAAGAATGAGGAATATATTTGAATGATACATACACATTTGAAAGTATTTGAAATCAGAATAATCACGCATTATTTATACTGGTTCTTAATATAACCTATTCCTTTTTTTTATTATACAAATAAAGGATAATTAATACACAGAAATATCTCACCTAATTTATTAACAGAAATTCTTGTTATATATTTCATAATACGTAACATTTTTTTAAAAAATATTTATGATTCTGATTTGCAAAGACGAAAAGTTATCATTTCAGGAATAGAAAGTTTCACTATCCAAAGCACAGACCATCCAAAGTGCGCGCACATTACCTCTGTGAAGTTAGCCGGACAACTTTACTTTTTAACTTTTTAAGGTACTATTTCATGCACGCGACCGCGACAACTGTCGCGCGACGAAATCACGCTGACGTGAAGAAATCCGTCGCCTCTATGAAATATGGCGCCATTCTGCGAGTTGTCGCATCAGTTGCATGATAATCATAATTTTTAACCAATCAGTATGATTTCGTTGCGCGACAATTGTCGCGCTCTCGTGCATGAAATAGTACCTTAAGCCGTACGCCTGTATTCTAAGGTTGCCCTGAAGCGTGCTACTATCGTTGAGTGTAGATAGGTATAGAGGTGCGGAGAACGTGGTGGGGGTATGTCAAGCATATACTATAGTAAAATTTTAGTTCCAATCCCGGCGGGTTGATGGCGCCCCGAAAATTCCAAGCTATATTGTGACTATACGCTCCCTATGAGTGGGGATTTGTACTAAAAGAGACTGTAGCGCGCACGCGCAA